GAAACTAAACACAATGAACATGGGACACCAGACCTCTTCAAAATAAAACAGGAAACATAATGAGACACAGACACAACACGAGCTTGGACACACAGACATGAAACACACGAAGGGCGAGGGAAACGTAAACACACCAGGTGAAGACACTAGGGTAATCTAATAAACAATGAACTATAACAGCAACCTAGGCATAATAAAAATGAACTTATATAACCTAATGAACTTAAACATAAACCATAAACATCAAAATATATTAAAACTCAAAATGCTGAGTCAAATGACCCAGGATAGGGGCACATGTATTTGTTGTTTATTATTTTGTGTTGATTATTACATCAGCTTCACAGGCATACAGAATTCACTGCTGTCTCCATAATTATTTTATTTCATTCTGCCTTCCTTGAAGCTTCACCCCTCCATTATAAGAATTATATGATTTGGGGGTTTGTCCGGGATTTTGTAAAACAAGGTTGGAACAGGTGTATTTTCTGTGTTACGTCTGATTTCAAACCTTCTGCTTACTCCAGTTACAAATGTGAGTTGTTGCCTGGATGTTTGAGCCCTTTTTGAGTTTCCAGTGTTTGCACAGGTAGGACAGGTGAGTGTTTGCCTGAACTCTGTTGGGTTGTTTGTTGGCTCTTTTTGTTATCTTTTATCTGGTTTTTAGAGTAAGTCAGGGCACAGATAAGGTGAAGAGATGAGTTTGGCAGGATCTGCTGGTCATTTATTGCTTTTGTAACTATAATTGTCAGAGAGCAACACAGCAGGGCAGGCCTGGCACTGAAAACTCTGTCTGTCTTGACATCTGTTTCCTTCACACTTTACTGCTTCAGTAAATCTGATTGAATCTGATTCAAATTCCTCTCACATCCCTTTGCGGGGCTAACAGCTTGACGCCTGCGGCGAAGCGTGAGCAGGCATTCACAAACCTGATGCTTCTCCAACATCTGCACTCATTTCCATCAGCTTCTCCTCTGTGACCTCAGATGGATGTTTCTCAGGACTGCACAAGAACATCTGCAGAATGAAGCGAAGTGTGTGACGAGCTGCTGGTGTTCGGCTCAGGGTGTAGAGGATTCAGGTTTTCTGTCTCTAATGTTCAGATGATGTTCTTCAGGTAACCTGTAAGTCTTTTCTGTCACAGTTAAATCTCCAGTGAGCAAACAGCTCCCAGCTTTCAGTCTGTTCAGGAAGAAGACGGTAATCTGCTTTGATCTTACCTGATGCAGGTTAAAGCTATGTGGGGCCCCACGTAGCCCCGATCCCTCTCAGGTTTATGTTTTCATCTGCCCTCCAGCTGCCCCCCTCTCATCCACCTGTGATCCACCTGTGAGCCTCAATTAGAGCTAAAGAGGGCGGAGTTCAGTGGGCCTGGTTGGCCCCTGAGAACACAGCGCTCATTGATGCTCAACC